ACAATTAACTTCCGTATCCGGCACGGTTAGCCCGGTGCCGCTGTTGCGGGTCAATGGCACGCGCAACAGCCTCAGTCACAGCCACAGCAGCGTCCGAAAGTGTCCGTCACTCAATATCACATTCAGTCAATAATACGATCTGAACGAAATCGGCGAGGCTCCGGCCAACGCCGATTCCAGCAGATACGGTTCAGCCAGCACCAGCAATTACAATTCCGGCTGTCAGTTCAGTTCCGGCTACAATTACAATTACGGCCCCAGTTATGGCCTCAATTTCAATCAGAGTCTCAACAATGTGCGTTACAAGGCCAAGCTGCGGAGCATGAATCTCAATCTCAATCCGCCAAGGAATTAAAAGGCAGCCTCGAAAACAATCAGATCGAACTATATGCGATATACTGTATAGTGTATAGTATAACCTCCAGTCGAATGGAAACAAATCAAAAGGAATATTTTGCAACAGGGGCAGAGGGTAAAATGTAGCAAACAAAAAAAAAAGAAAAGAATACATTCCAAATCAATGAATGAACGTACCTATGTGAGAACTACTATAGCCTAATTACACAAAGTTGATACCAAACTAAAACCAATAACGAATTACTAATATTTATATGCATACCTACTAATAGAACGAATACACAACTGTTGTTTTTTGGAGAATTTATTCAAGTCTTATATTTGTATGTACCATAAGTGTTAATGTTTAAACATATCCGAAATCGTAACAAAGTTATCCATCACATAGCCCAAAATTGGATACTAGTAACTACTATTTATCTTTATTATTGATTGATATTATTAATTATCTTAGTTGTTGCCACCCCAATCGATTTTAAGTCCCTGCCCCAAAAAAACAAAAAAAAAAGGAAAACGAATCTAAAGGCCGTGTAAATTCTTAAATTCAATTAGTCATTGAAAAATCTAATTTCTGAGAAAAGCCAGATTTATCCACCCACACACAAACACTATTGCCACCGCTGCATGTGTGTGTGTGTTTTTGTGCGGAACGTGATGTTAACTTAATTTGAATCCTTAATCATTGTCGTCCTGGTAATCGTTCTCGTAATCCCACGATAGTGTTTTTATTGTTAAAGACCACATTACCAGCTAGATTAGCTTAAGCACCTGCACTTTGATAAAATCGGTTTTATGTCGGATTAAAGGACTTTTTCCCGGTCACACTCTTATGAGTTAGTTAGTTCAACCTGAAGTTATATGATATGATAGGATAGTTATTATTATAGATGTACTTTAAGTTAATATATTTAAGTTTCTGTATATTGCGGTAATCAAGGTACATTTTTTGTAAATTACTATTAAAATAATTTATTTTAGTTTTTTTGTAGTGTATAAATATTTTAAGTTGTGATTTAAAAGTTGAAAATCAAATATTTGTGCATGGTTTCTCAGATTTGATTTCTGTTAATATAATTTTGTTGGCAAGTAAGCAATTTTAAATTTATTTTCCCAATGTTTGAAAGTGTCCTACAAATCCTAAACATTTTACTGAGCCCACAGAAAAACTCTTAAGCTATTTTCGAGCAGTTTTGTGAAAGGAAATTAATTAAAATTCATAAAAAACGTAATTTAAAATGTATATATTCAAATGTAAATGCCAAAACCGTTTTCTGTGTACATCCAACCTGAATTAATGAACAAAATATGCATGATACCTCGGATTGCCACCCTTTTTATGTTCCAGTTTAGGTTTTACTGAACTTTAAAAATATCCAAATGCTGAAACAAAGGTGAAATAGATGCTTTTTCTGTAATCTAAACTCTAAAAAATAAAAGAACATAAGCAACTTAAAACCAAAGCCCGTTGAAATGCATGCGCCTGTAAATTTTTAGTTTTAAAAGAAATACAAATAGAATAGTTGTGGTGTTTTTAAATGTTTTTGGAATTGACGTTTTCCATGGCATTGTGAATGTGTCTGTACTAATTGACTTGCCATTTTACTTTCTGCCCATCTGAACTGCACTATATTTATATATTCAGGAAATACGACAAACGAAAATTGAGATAAACAAAATGAGAAAATTCAAGCTGAAAACAAATCGAATTACGCTGCTGATCACGGAGATAATGTAAAATAAACAACTTATGTGTAAACTTGATTGATTGACTGACACTGAAGGCTTCAGAAGGCTGCTTTACCTGCTATCTTGCATACCTATATCGATCTGAACTATATGAATCTGTTAACCGACTTACCAGATGTTGCTATGCATTTGTATTGTACTTTACTCTACTACGATTAAGTCATTGCGAATTTATTGTAATTGTTAAATGTACACTTGGCTATTGCACAATCAGTGTTGCTTTGACCTTCAACCCAATTAAACCCCCGCCCGCTTTTGCATTTTAAATTATAATTTGCTTTCGCCGTACTTATGATTATGATTATACTTCGAAATGTGCCTTAAGAGTTCAAAGGTTCTCGCATTCCAAGTGCGTAGTGCGTAGATTGTGCGACAAATCTGTAAGAATATACATACTATTTAGTAACTTGATGAGATCGAAAAGAGTAGCTACCGATACCTAGACAAGCAAAGCTCCGCTTGAACGTAAGTCAACCAACTAACCAACCAACCGGAGGTGAGAGGTCACCGGAAACTCCCGATTATACCCACACTCATCCACAACTGTACCTTAGTAGTAGTTTTGTAGTCACCCACATCCGGTGCAAATCCAACACAGACACGTACATTTAGCCGTAAGTTGACCCATAGATAGATGTTCGTAGTTTGCATTGCGTAACCAGTTGAACCCAAAAAAAAAACTAGTACAACCGATCCCAGATAATCCAGATAATCCAGATAACCCGCCGCAAGAACCGGAAATAGAAAGCAAACCCGAGAACCGAATTGATGCATGACAACCGAACCCGATGTTTGTCTCCCCCCTTTTTTTTTTGCTAATACATACCTATATACTCTTTAAACTAAATAAAAAAAAAACAATATTGTGTGTGCCCCTTTCTCTCTACTTGTCTCCAAGTATTTGGTGTTTTCCCGTATTCGTAATTCCCGTAATATACGTAATATCCGTAAAGGAGTGCGAGACACCTCGAATCCCGAGTAGCTGCAGCAGTTCCCAACGTAGCTAGATAATACCTACTTACTATATCTAACAATACCACCCACCAATAGCTTTATGTATTTTGAAAACCGTTTGAAACCGAACAACCAGATTGATGGCCTAATTATCTTGCAACAACTCTATTACAGTATCAACTATTCTCCGGACGTAACTAAAGATACAGAAACGCAAACAGATAAATTCATTCAAAAGAATCCAATTACTTTTCAATGCAATTTCGGTCCATTTATGAAACACCAGTAATCAACTTATCTTAGCGGTACATAAATATATAACATTGTAAACGTATACCAAGAGCAAGCTTAACTAAGTATTTTCAGTCGAAACTCTAAATGTTGTTAGCCAATCCAATTCGATGTGACCAAAGCAACATAATAATCACAAATGAATTGTAATTTATCCAAAACAAACGTGTCAAACACATCCAACAATCAAAAAAGGAATTTCACGATCCAGAGATAAACAAAAACCACTATGCAGAGTGCAATCAATTCATAGAAACCCCAATTATTCTCGAATATACATATTTATATTATAAATGTTTACGCTAGGCCAAAACACATGTCAAATATTCACTCACATATACATAGCATTAGAGTATTGTTTTAATTTAAACCATAACTGACCGAACATATCATAATACACCAGCAAGAGAAGAAAATATATAAATATTATATTTATTTTGCCACCATCAATCTCAGCTATCTCAGATAGCAAATAAGCAAGCAAATAAGAGAAAATCGTGTACCTACATCGTACCTAGCACCACAAAAAAATCAAACTAATCACAGAGCTTTACAGCAAACGCAATCAAAATGAATATAAATAACCACGAATACAAAGAGAAGTTTATTTTTAGCCAAGAACCTCGAGGGTTCCCGCCTGCGCTTTACAGTGATGAATCACCTATATGTTCCCCATCATTCAATCCATTAAATATACACTCTCTGTCCAAAGGGAATATCTCCAAGCACACCCAAAACTACTACTAAGGTAAATACACGAATGCAACCCAATGCAATCCACCGATCCAATATCTACCGATCCGCAATAGAACCAGAACAATTAATGAAGCCGATGTTCCTGAAGGCAATCTCAATCTCAATCTCAAATTTATAGTCAATTTGTATAGTGTGGTATATGATAAATGGTAAACTCTTGAAACTTTTTAGTGAAGAAGTCATTAATGTATTCATTACGTAAACTGCAATTAAAGCGATTATCGTTGTTGTGGTATGTTTAGCGGAATAGAAGTGAAAAAAAAAAAACAAAAACAAATATGAATTTATATATGTATACAAGCAAGAAGCAAGACGAACTCTCTACCGAGGACACGCTAAAAACCTACTTTATAACATATACACGTATGGTCTATGCTCTGAATAATACGAACGGGAACGGGACAATCAAAATTCTACCGACACTACTAATTCTTAATCAATTACGGAATTACGAATTTCCAAATACCAACTACCAATTACCAATTACAATTTTCTGTTACGTTGATGTCGTTGTGTTTGCTCGATCCCTTGGATCTGCGTTTAGTTGATGCCAGCTCATGATCTTGAAACTCCAGCATATCCTTGCCATGCACCTGAATTTGCTTTGCATTTTGTTCAGTCTGAGTTTTCCGTTTATTTCTGTTACACATTGCGATCTAAGGACAAGGCATATCTGTATGATTTTCTAGCGTTTAATCGTACGTATACATAATTAGATTTACTTAATTTTAATTAACGTTTACGTGAAGACACACAACTAAACAAACCAAACAAAAAATATATAGAGGGGAAAACCAAAAGCTCAAACTGGACTGAACATTTAAGAATTATATTATGTACATTATTGAATTGCATTTGATTGTATGAAAAGATCGTTTTAAATGAGAGTACTACGGTTAATATTAAAAGGTATTATATTTGTATTCGAATTTGTATGTAACTCTGATCGTATGTACGTTATGTTATCGTAAGTGTGACATCCTAGAACCTGTAATGAAATTGAAAAAAAAACTTAAGCCAACTCTGTCTCTTGTGATTCTATTGTGATGCTGTGGGAGTCAGGCAGCACTCAACTGTTTTTATGCCTCCTAAAGTTTAAAACAAAGCTAATCAAAGCAAAACCAAAACTAAACTACCTATCTCTACTCTAGTCTATGCAATGCAAATTGGCAACCACAACTATTGAAAACAATCATGCACAATAAATGTTATGCAATTGAGAGAATCCAAGGCCAAAGACCCTTAATCTTTTTCTTATACTCGTACTTACACTACTTGAAGTAATTGTGTACAACTAAAGGAATTCTAGATTTTAAATGTGCTAAAACTGTTTATAGTCAAGTACTTAATTATGAATGTAATTATCGAATATTAATACGTACAAAGGTTGGGCCATTCGGCATAGTAATACTAATGTATAAACGTGGGATCGATCGTTGATTGAAGATGGAAAAGTGCAAATGCATGTGACAATGTACGTATATAACAAAAATTGAATTTAAATGTTTAATAAATGTGTGGAAATGAATAAATAATCTAATTATAATTACTCTTCACGTTCTCTACGTTCGCTTTTCGTCCAGAAAAAGTGGATCCAAGCTGCATTTGTGGGGCTGTTCCATATAGTCCACGATCTGATGGTTAAATAGGCACTGTCCCATGCTGCGAGCCATATCATCTGACTCGTCGGTGTTGGCCTCCTGTATAAGGAGCTATAGAGTACAGATTTTAGATATTTATTTTTGGTTTGTGAGTTTCTTATGCTCACCTCGATTTCCCTGCACAGAAATGCCTTGGTGGGCTCGCTCAGCTTCCGTTGGGGCTGGCCCATTAGAGCATTTTCCAAAAATTTATACGCTTCGCTAAAATACATTTAATAAACTTAATTTGATGTCATGCGTTAATTACGCGCTTTGCAGCCCAAGGCCTTTTAAATTCACAATAAATTGAAATTTAGTAGAATAGAAACAGGGCTTACGAATAGTCTACTTATTATTAGCATAAAAACCTGTATACTATAATACTTGGTATAATAGTTTACAGATAATAGTTTCGTAAGTATATAGGTTTTTGTATGCAAGTTATAATGAAATTAAAGGTAATAAACGGAATGGACGTTTTAAAGGAAAATGTGTGATTTCAGGACAATTGTAGTCTGAATTTCTGGTTAGTTCTTACTTCAAGTCAATGCCATTTAGTTCATCTGGGAATGGCTTTTCCTCGTTATGGATTATGAAGTTCACAGCTGCAGCTGCCTCGAATTCGCAGAGTTCCGAGAGTTGGGCTTTTTTCATCAGTTCCAGCCACTGGGTGATGTTGTTCAGACTGACGGAGTCGCAATTTCTGACCATTTCCTGGCCCCTTTTAATCGTGGTGGACCCATAGTCTGGGCAGGATTCATTAATATATTTATCAAGTTTGATAGTTATAGTTATTTTTGAGACTTACGGAAAGCGGCGTTCGTATGGTTTTGCTTGCCGTATTTGGATGCTTCCACCAGGTTTTGCTGCGAGTATCCATGCTTGTTCAGATGCCTTTGAACCTTCAGTTTGACTTCCCTGGGAAGGTTGGGAGCCTTGGGCACGGTTTCCTCAACAGAATCCTTCGATTTCGGCTGGAGTTGGCTTTCCTCCATGACTTTTGTTTATGTTTTGCGAATGGCGCGTTTTGTAGTTGCACAAGTTGGTATTAGGGTGACCATTTTGGATTTAGTATGTTTTTTCTCAGCGAAATGACGGTATTTTTTATGATATATAATTATATTTTTAAAATTTATTTAAGAATTCATTTTAAAAATTACAAAACTAAAACATTATTTAATCTTTAAGTAAATAAATCAAACTTTTTATACTTTGTAAACATTTATTTTCTATCTGTATTGTAACTGTAACTGTATTTGTTATTCTGATTATTTACTTCAACTTAAATTAAAGTTTTTTATCTCGAAAAGTAGCAGTTTTTGGTTTATATGATTATTAAAATATTAACGGTATAAATTTGGTATATTTTTCCTATTGCGCTTTGTGGTATATTTAGCCCAGCTCGCCGTGGTCACACTAATCGCGCAGTTAGAACATAGAGTAGTGCGAGTGAGAACGTAGCGGACGCGCTGGCTGGCAGCGAAAGAAAGCCCGAACATCCTTTTGTTTCAAAAGAAATCTTATTCGAAGATCCCTGATCCGCAACAGGATCGTCTAGTGCAATATATAGACTAGGTAATTTGCTTTTGGAAAAATAAGGACACTGCGCCGAGGCCGTCGATTGTTGTTTCCCCGCTATCGAGACAACAACAAAACACCACAACAAAGCCGCAGACAAAGAAACGAATCGAAACCAGCGCCAAACGAAGTCAGTCACGGAAAAACCTTGAAGTGACTCACTGCCAATATCACTGCCAATTGGAGATTGATCACTGCCAGTGCAAAACATTTATCCTTGGAGCCCCAAATAAGCGGAGTCCCCGGACACAAAAACCACATCCGGAATGCAGGCGTCGGAGCGCGAGATTGGAATGCTGAGAAAGCATCGCGAGCACATTAACAAGAATCTGGATTATCTGGTGAAAGCGACCAACTATGGTCAAGTGGCCAGGGAGTGCGTCCGCCAGGGCATCCTGTCCAGCCAGATGCTGCGCAACACGGAGGACCTCAATGGCGAGCGGTTCAACATGCGCGAGGAGGATGTGCTACTGGAGCAGCATCGTCGGTTGTTCCTCAAGGTCACCCAGCGGGGTCCAACCGCCTACAACCAGCTCATAGCGGCCCTAAAGAATGTCAATTGTCTGGATGCCGCCCAGTTGCTGGAGTCGGTGGACGAGTCCAGTTCGCGGCCACCCTTCATCTCGCTGAACGAACGGAAGAGCAGCCGTCCCAAGTCGGCAGATATCGTGGACAACCGGTCGCCAGATGCCTGCGAAGGTGCCTGTGTCAGCAAGGTAAGATCTTTAATATCCCCAACTGAAAATATGGCTTTTCTGACATTCAACACGTTACAATTGTACAGGTGAGGCTAAGAATGTTCTAATAAGCATGGTTTTGTAGGTCAATGACCCAATGAGTCACAGAAAACCATGGTTTTTATACTAATTGTGGTCATAAGAAGCTTTAATCTTTAACTTAAATGTACAGGCGAATGATAATATACATTGATTAGAACCAGTAATAAAAGGTAGTCACTTTCTCTTATAACAATTTGTATTGACAGTTTACAAATAACTCTTCCAGGGATCAATGCCCCAATGAATCATGCAATTGATCAACGTCACAAATCATTCATGCTTACCTTATCCCGAAAACTGGTACCATTTATAGCTTGAGCTCTTCAAACTCAATTGACAGAATTTGTATGCGCAGATATAAGCAGTACGTTTTGATATGCTTATGTCATGGTTCCAAGTAATATAAACTTTGTTGATAACAAATACCTCAGCTTTAGATGATTCAGTTTGGCTTCTTTTTGTTATACATTAATCGTTTCAAGGTCACATTTTTCGTCTTTATATATAATATTTACTCAGAGGTTTTAGCTATCTGTTCGTTTAATCTGTGGAGTAGGGCTACTTACCTATCCCATTAATTTTTCCAGTGGGATAGGTTCTTTAACCTTGGGGAATTATGAAAAACACATCGTCATTGCCAAAACCTTATCAACATTATTTCATGTCGAATGTTATATGCGAACATAAAATCAAAGTAGTCCGATGCATTCCTTAATTGAGTGCATTAATTGAATTTCACCATAAGATGTAAGTTAGAAGTCATGTTTATTGAACCGAAGTCGGTAAACTGGAATATTAATCATGCAGCTAGCGAGAAGCTTATCTATTTTTATTTCCCCCTGCATTTCAGAGACCCTTAAGCGAACCCCTCGGACCACCTACGCCTTATCTGGAGCCCGTCGTCGGAAAACAGCGCGAAGTTAGGAAGTCAAACAAGATTCACACTGATGATATGGTGGGCACATACAAAATGCAATCGCGCCACAATCGCGGCGTTTTGCTGATGATAAACATCATCGACTTCCCAGATCCCAAGCGCAAACGAAACGGAGCCGAGTTGGACAGTAACTCGCTGATTCACCTGTACCGCGAACTGGGTTTTACGATTTTCGCCTATGGCAATATGAACCAGGAGCAGTTCTTCGACGTGCTGGGCCAGGTCACCTCGTCGTCATATGTGCAGAACACCGAGTGCTTCATGATGATTCTGATGACGCATGGTAATCGGGTGGATGAAAAGGACAAGGTGGAGTTCTGCGATGGATCCGTGGTGGATATGCACAAGATTAAGAACCACTTCCAGGCGAACATCTGTCCGTATTTGGTGCACAAGCCAAAGGTGCTGTTCTTCCCATTTTGCCGTGGTGACCATGCCGATATGGGGCAGCCGAAGAATCGCTACGATTCTAGGGAGCCTGTGTTCAAGATCCCACAGCAGGCGGACACTCAGATCGAGACGGAGGGCATGTCCTCCGTGACCGCAAATGTTCCAACTCTGGCAGACACGCTGGTCTGCTATGCCAACACGCCGGGCTTTGTGACCCACAGGGACACGGAGACGGGCAGCTGGTACATCCAGAAGTTCTGCGACGTGATGGCCGAGCATGCCCACAACACGAACGTCGAGGACATCCTGAAGAAGACGAACGCCTCCGTGGGCAACATGCGCACCAAAAACGGCTCGATGCAGACCGGTGCCTTCGACAATCTCGGCTTTAACAAGAAACTCTACCTTAATCCGGGCTTCTACAGCGAGTAGCCGCAGCCACTGCCCATGATGAAAGCATTCCCGACTGAATATTTGCATTTCTAAACCGTATTTATGTTTGTATCGTCGCATTTATGTGTGTCCTTTAGATTATGTGTTTTGTGCTCGCGTGCTCTATATGTCTATTTTGTACGCAATACTCCTCTACTTCTTCAAATACTTTTTTTTAAGGTACACAAATTAGGTCTTTCTATGTGATAAACGCCAGAAGTGTTAAGATCAAAATAAGCAAACAATTATTTAAAATTAAGCAAATCCACCATCAACGAATATTAGAAATCGAAAAATTTAAGTAAAATGTAAAACAATTTTCGAGTCTGATCTTAAAGTTTGTACATTTACAGTATGAAAGATATCATTCGAAATGGAACAAAAAAGTACAATGTAACAAAGTTTTCCAGTCTGATTTTAGAGTTGATTTGTACATTTATAAATAAACGATGGCATTTTTTGACAAAACCCAAAGTTTTTCCAAAAGTTAAAGTCCAAGAATTGTGTAGTAAAAGTCTATTTACATGCTTAAATCTTTAGGGGAACGCTAATTGTTTAATGTGTAAGCCTAAGACCATAAGTTGTAACCTACTCATCCTGTTCATCTTCCTCTGCCAAGTGGGAAAGTTGAAGTTTTCCAGAGGCACGACTCTGGTTCGACTGGGTCTTGGATTTCTTCTGTTTCTGGGCCCTTTGACCAATTACATACTCGGGCATCACCAGCTTGGAGCCTCTCAACTTTGGTTTGTCCAGCTCCACATCCTCCACCTCCTGCTGTTGAAGCTTCTTGAGATTGCGGTTGAGTTTGCTGGTCTTTTTGAACTCTATTTTGCCATCTGAACTGGGCGATTCGATGTCATCTCCCTCAGCTTCGCGCTGGGCGTCCATTTGTCGGAGGAAGGATAAGGCGGCGGCGGAGTTGCTCTGATCGGAGATGTCCACATCGGACAGGGAGTACTTCTTCCATTTGTGGGGGTTTACCTTAGATGGGAATCAAGGGTTTTAAAGGCGATTTGATTGTAAGGAATAGGGCATCTTCTACCTGGTAATCTGGGGTCTTCCTGGGCTTCAAACAGCGACCGATGGGCAGTTCCGGCTTCTTGAAAATGCTCTCCTTGCCCCGCATCCGCCGTAATCGCCCATCCTCCGGATCGAGGTTGACATCAATGCTGCGGCCGTGGCGGTAGTTCATCACCTGTCCGGATCCGGATGAGTTTCCGGATCTGTTGCCCCGATCGAGAGCGTTGATGGATAACGACTTGGCCTTGCTCTGATCCAGGGCCGTTCCCCTCAATTCTTTGCTTGCGTCGTCGAGACATGCAAACAATGCATCGCGTTTGGCCGAAAACTCTTGCATTTTGTTTAGTTTTAATGCACAAATCGCATTTGTTTAATCAGTTCGTGTTTGCCCAGGTAAATTAAAACCAACCAACAGCTGTTTTGGCATACATACAAACATTACTTTTCGGTATTTCTGTAACTGATATAATTTAGTATTTACTGATTGCAAAAGTAAACAAATACTTATATACAATGATTCATTAAAAAGCACTACAAACAAGATAAACAATATGTTTTTGTTATCGCTGAATAATACTTAAATTATATTTATTAACATATTTTTTTTAAAACCCTGTGTTCAGACCAAAAACAAATTTAAAATTCCATTTGAATGAGTTATTTGAATTATGTATAAATTATTAATTTTGTTTAATTATTTTACAAAAATAGAAAGATATATATTTTAAAATCAAACTTGTACAACTATTGTAGTATTTTTTTATTTTGGAAGTTAAGCTGGTATGTTTTGGTATATTTGGATTTACCAGCCCTGGTCATACTGGTGCCGGTGTAAAAGTGTGCAAGAAGTGTGCTCTTTCGCGAATATAAATAAGTTAAACAGCCAGGTGGATATTAAATAAAACTAACCCAACTGCGGGACAATATGTATCGTTCGCTTACCTCAAAATGTATCTCAATGTGATCCAGCCCTCATAGACAGTTTCATTAGATGGCTTAGTGAATTTTCTAACCCCATGTGGTTTTTGGTGGCAACAAAAGTTACGAGTGCTGAACACCCTTCAAACAAAAGCTTAGCCGACAAAACAGTTGATTGGGCTTAAGAATGTTGTTTTAATAACTGGTTTTAAAGTTACAAATTTGTATTTATTAACTTTTACCCATTTTCCAATTTGGCAGAATATAGTAGAACCATATTTTGCACCCCTGGTATTCTGCAAAGTAGGAAAACGGTCACACTTGAGTTACAGCTGTTTTTTATTGTGATAGTCAGCAATTCACAAAAAACGGGGAGAAAACATTTAATTCGCTGCCAGAGAAACCATTTGCGAGCACTTTTTCATTATTATTTTGCAATTCCAATTATAAGTTGAATGTTTATAGTTTACTAGTTTCGTGCTACCCCGTTAGAATGTCCCTGCAAACGGGCTTGGTTTTCATTTTCACCATATTAGCCTCTGTTAGTATCGTCGCAGCAATTATTTTGTTGGGTAAGCAGGCGCCCGCTGACGATCATAATGTCTTGGAGTCTAATTTCAATTACTTCGAGCTGTAACTCATCCACAAATTTGACTCCCATTGCAGGCTGGTTCCTCATCTGGAAGGCGTTCCTATCGAAGTTTCGTCTGGTTCGGGAATTGTTGGGTCAAGAGGAGCCGGAGGAGCAGCAGCCGCCACTCGCTTGGGATCACCAGCATCAGCAACAGCATCTTCAGCAACAGCACGGAAGAGCCAGGAAAGCTCGCCGAGATTAGGAGTCAGTTAATCAACAAGGAGATCACAAAACTACAGCCCCACCATGAACATCCGCTGCGCCAAACCGGAGGACCTAATGACCATGCAGCACTGCAACCTGCTGTGCCTGCCCGAGAACTACCAGATGAAGTACTACTTCTACCACGGACTCACCTGGCCTCAGCTCAGCTACGTGGCCGAGGACGACAAGGGCGGCATTGTGGGCTATGTCCTGGCCAAGATGGAGGAGCCGGAGCCCAATGAAGAGAGCCGCCATGGCCACATCACCTCGCTGGCCGTAAAACGTTCCTATCGGCGTTTGGGCCTGGCCCAGAAGCTCATGAACCAGGCCTCGCAGGCCATGGTCGAGTGTTTCAATGCCCAGTACGTGTCGCTGCATGTGAGAAAGAGCAACCGGGCTGCCCTGAACCTCTACACCAATGCCCTCAAGTTCAAGATCATCGAGGTGGAGCCCAAGTACTATGCCGATGGCGAGGATGCCTATGCCATGCGGCGCGACCTCAGCGAGTTCGCCGACGAGGATCAGGCCAAGTCCACGAAGCAGGCGGGCGAGGAGGAGGACAAGGTAGCCCACAGGGCCAGCGGACATGGTCACTCGCACAACCACAGCGGTCACGATGGCCACTGTTGCTGAACCAATTCGCTGCCGGCGCAGGCGGGTTTCGACGTTTTTTTGCATTTTTGTGCATTAGGGTTTTGTAATTAATTAACTGATAAAACGTAACTACAATTAAAACAGAAGTAATGACAAAGAAGGTTGGTTTTTACAACAGTTATGGGGCTTTTAGGTTTTAGCAAAGGATGACTCTTCGTTGCTTTATATTCTACTCTGTACTTTAAAATCCTTATTATACAAAAACATTTTTTTAATCACGCAACTTTTCGGCATAACACATCAACTTTAAATATAACAATGGTAGAGAAAACTTTTTAAATATTTTTTTACTTGGCAACTTAAGGGTTTTTGAACGTTTTATTTATTGCTAACTCTCTTTAATATTATTCGAAATCAAAATCAAAACATGTACATACAGTGATATATTTATATTTTTAAAACTCCTAATTCACATACTGGAAATTAATTTAGAATTCTAGGAATGTTTCTGTTCTAAGAATTAGAATTTCCTTAACCCATTGTAATGGGTAAAAGTAAATGAATGCGGAATGTGGGTTAAAAAATGTGGGCTTTTGGTAATGCGAAAAGTTTGTTGGCCCCAAAAGTTGGCCAAGCGGAAAGATGTCTTTATGTGTAAAGTGTTGACTTTCGCGCCAACTTTTGGGTTTCATTTTGGTGTGTTGTCAAGTTATAGGCGACATGTTGGTGGAATAACTTTTATGGTTACGAAAAACTGTTCCCACATAGGCTATTTTCCAGTGGCGCAGCTTTTTGTTTTCCCATTATTTCCCAGAGAGCTCCCTTTGCGCATGATCGGTGGGACATGTGAGGCAACAGCTGTTCGGTCGCCACGTGGAGAAAGGTACTTTTCCGGATGGCGCCAAAAAGAGAGCGCTCGAGAGAGAAAGTACCATAATCACAGCTGAGCCGAGATGCTGGCATTTCGCGTATTTTCGCAGTTTTTAAGTTCAGTTCGTGAGTCGTTGGCTGAGCAAAAACGACATGTTCACGGGTGTTTTATCCATTTTCTTACAGCTACGTAAAACGTGCGCAAAACTAAAGCTATAATTGTGAAAAGTGCTAGAAACCTTAACGGTAATTCCGCTCTATGTAGGAGAAAGGAAAAAGAAAGCTTATTTAAAAGTGAGCCAGCTAACGGGAAATGACAATTTATGATTATTGTGTCGATAACGCCCTGCTAAATCAATAAACAAGCTGGAAAACACATAAATTCAAACTATTGGTTAAGCCCCATAAGGACTAACTGTAAAAGTATTCAGTGCTGCAAAGCTAAAAATGCAAAGTGCTTAAAACCTTAACGGTAAATCCATTCTTTTTGGGGAAATGAAAATATTTTATATAAAAGTTACAGCTTATTGGTAAAACAAATCAATGTAAAAATGGTGGAATTTTATTATCATTGTGGCAATGCTAGATCAATAAAGCCTTAAGTTAAACAATTCGTGGTACCCCAAAAAACAGTCACGGACATAACAGTAAACGCATTCAGTTTTTGAAAAGCCAAAAAGCCGGCCAACAGTGCAAAAAGCCGGAGAACAGAAGCCCCTGCTCATCTCGTGTTGTTATTGTCGAAACGGGGTCAAAAGTTCGTGTCTCACTCGCAAATTCAACCACACAAAACACTCACAAACACACACACATACGGTTCCTCAAGTGCAAGCGAAGACACTAAGTCGCCCGTCTGGCTGAAAAGCATGAAAAAAGCATAAGAATAGCAGAAGAAAAGCAGACAAAAGCATTAGACAAGTGCCAAGTAACTCAAAACTGCAGCCGGAGAGGAGTCTTAGGCCTACAAAACACACGGAAAACCCAACCCCGAGCCGAAAAGCTACACCAAATACTAGACAAACTAGGCCAATTCGCGTGGATGCGGGGAAAACGTTGCAAAAGTGCTCTGGAAACGTAGAAAAATAAAATAAAATAAAAAAAATAAAACAATAGCAGTTGAGCTCCCTGGCCATTTGTCAATGACTGGGCCACTCGCGTGACTGCCGATTCTATAGTGGAATTACTATAGCCGAAACAGACTCCGGCCCAAGGACTACATCCGAAACTAACAGTAAGTAGTCCACAAAAGCGGAATCAGACCAATGTGTTCTCTACCACATGGTATTTTTATCGATTTTTGAAATTTTAAAACTCTTTAGAAGAATATATGTACATATGTATGTAAAATATATTTGATTTCATAAAAATCTCTAGAAATTTTGGGACTGTTTCTTGGAAAATGCTATCAAATTCTTTAAGCTTTACAGCATTTGTAGTAAGAGGATCCAAGACATCACATTACAATCATAAAGACAATTCTCTTTTACTTTTTGAAACTTACCTTTTTATTTTAAGCTACCACCATTCTTTAAAGCTTGTGTTATCAATATCCTCTTCATTGTAGAACAAGGCAATTGACGATCAAGTAATAATAACATTGCTAAATATATTGCAATTAATCTTTCAGTGCATGAAAACGTTTAATTTTTTCTGAGTAATTAATATAAATACGAAAGATACATTGAAGATAATTGAGTTATGGGAATAACTTAAAATATATGGTATTATTTTATCGTAAAAGTATCAATCATAATTAAAAAAAGTAAAATACTTAGTAAGCCCTAACAACTAGCTTCTTAATCAAGAATACTAACAGTAAAACTACTAAATTTAATTTTGTTTAAATAAATTGAGTGTATAACAAGATTAATTGAAATGCCCGTCCCAACGAGACTAGTTAAAATGCGACTGTAATTTGCGCAAATATGTACATCTTGAAAACTTATTTTCACATAACATGGAGATACCCCGACTTCGCACAACTTTTTGAGTCAGCGGGAAGCGTATTTATTTATTTAAGCTTGCAGTGCCCCTCCCCCAGCTTGGAAAACTTCAAAAGGCAACTTCACTATGTAGATGTTGTAATGACATTTTGTCAGCAGGATTATGCCAAATGCTGGCCTCCATCTCCACATTCCCACAGCAGCATGATGAGCCCCAACATAACCATCGTCGTCATCATTGTCTTTGTCACTGTCAACGCGTCTTGCAACTGTCAGAAGCAGAAGAAGCATCCTTCCCATCCGAAAGCCATCCTGTTCCGCTCCGAAATTCTTCTTTTCGTGAGGCTCGCATCATTTTTAAGGAAACATTTGCTGTAGCTCCGGTCTTGCCATCTCTTTGGCACTAGTGTCGTCTGTCTTTTCGTGTTGTTTCTGTTGCTCTCGTCAAGTGTTTACTGCTTTTTGTGTGTTTTTGTTGGTGCCGGCGGTACGTGTTGGCTCAGAAGATGTCAACAACTTTGCCTGGCACTCGCTGCAAACGCCAGCTACTCCGCTCGCCACATCTGCTCTTCTTTTTTTGCAATGCTGATGAAATTTGCAATTTGATTAATTCCCTGCTTTCTCGAATTTTGTTAAGTTTTGTACACATCTCAGTGCACGGAAGGAAATAATTTGAAGAAAGATAATTCTAGTCAAATAAAAGAAAAAATAAAAATCTTTCAATAAATAAGAAAGTACTTATTCACACTAACAAAAACATTTTATTTGCAAGTTTAAAACAGGGCAAATTTAAAATATGGTTTATTGTTTATACCAATGTTTGATTTGTCTAGTTTCTCCACAAGATAAAAAAGTATAAATTATTTGAGGATTTACAAAAAAATATATATATTTTTGTCAATATTAATTTAGGTTTTTTATTTGGGCTTAGTTTAGTTTTAGTTTTTTTTTTATTGAAAATAAGTTAAAAGTCTTACGTTCAATACAAAATAAATTATAATCTGACAGCTTTTCGTAACTGTCATTCTGTCGAATTTCATTGTCAAAGATATAATTGAATGGCTTTCAAAATAATTTACTTCTTTGTTAAGAAGATTTAATTTTATCAAAAATAAATTCAAATTTAAATTCTAGTTGGTTTAAAAATCTTTATTTTTTGTAATTTTTTAGTCAAGAACTTTATCCCAAAATTTAGATCGTTACTTTTCCTCGCAGTGCATGTGTTGTGTGTGCTTTGTTGCAAAAGCGACAGGCGCAGCTGTCAAAATGCTAAGCAATGGCCACGTGGCTTCCGCTTTCACTTCCGCTTGCCATTTCCGTTTCCGCTGGCTCTCTCGCTCTTTCTCACGCAAAGGTGATTGATGGTCGCACTCGCACTACTAATTAAAGTTATTTAGCGAGTGCTCCTGGCCGGCGCCATTTTTCATTCCCAACGCGCTCACTCCCGTTTTGTTTGGCTGCTGTCGTTCTTCTCCAAGTGTTTATGGCTTCAATTCAATTAAACAACTGGGTCAGTTGTGGTCGCATTGGCAAAAGGGCTTCCGGATTCGCATCCGCATCCGCATCTATGGCAGGCATCAACTTTCAGTGGCGTAATTAATTCTCTGCCAGGGCCATCGGAGGACAAAGACGCATCATAAGTGAGGCGGGAGCAAAACAAGAAATAGAGCTGCCAGCAAATTGCATTTATAATTCATTTTCTCGAAATTAAATTTTTCTTAAATGAGCACCAGACTTATAAAGTATAGCATGGAATGCCTTTTGCGAGAAGGGAAAAAACAGGCATTCTCATTGTGAATATTGAATGTTAAATACTTCTTGAATGCAAGGATTGCAAAGGCGATTCCTGATTCCTCTGAAACTCATGCAATGGATTTATTGCATCTCACTCGTTCAGCTCCATAATTAAACTGTCAATAGTTTTCGTGAGGCATTTTAAAAGAAAATCAGCGATTTTCATTACTCTTTTCTGCCCCATTTATAAAGTTCTTAAATCAATTCAGCAATCGAAGCTCCAGAATGCACATGTGCTGCGCCCAAGGAACGATTGCCACAATCGAAAAGTTTGCATTCTGCGCAAACATTTTCTCAGAACTTATTTACTGGAACAATTGAGGATGCTGTTCTGGCACAACATGAAAAGTTATTAACGAGTGGAAATGTGTGAGCCATGGAAATTGTGCTGCAAAAAACCACGAGCATGTTCGACGAAAGTTGACCATTACTTCTTGAAGACAAATTAAGTTCTTATTTTATTAATAGATACATACATATGCTGTAAATGTTTAAATATTATTCCCTTTGAGGCAAATACTTACCTCGTTTGGGTAAATTGTATCATTTATAAAAATAAATTACTACTATCAACCAGTTGCTTTTTAAACAATACAATTAAGTATTTAATTAATTGTAAACATTAATAAGATAGTCACTTAATTATTAATAGAATTACTTGAAAAATGCTAATTTTTTGTTCAGCTAATAATCATTTGTATTAATAATGATTCAAAAATATTTGATTGTCGTTGAGTAAAATAAAAAAAAAATGTTTTAATGGATCACATGTTTTATGAAAACCTTATAGGGGATAAAACACCAAATTTAAAAAAAAAACTAATACCTAACAAAACCAATTTACCGACTTTGCCGCACTTCCTTTAACTTCATAAGCAACTTACTTGTTTGGGTAGACCGCATGCCCCATTAATTTTTTCAATCACTGTCCTATTTTGTTCCAATTTATAAGCTTCCTTATCGGGTCCGTAGGAGCCAAAACTATACCCAATTGCCATTTATCCATTGTTTATTCGATGGCATTTATTTATTTTTCGGTTCCGCCATGTATTTCTTTGTACACCCTGCGGCCATTGAAGATGTTGTTCCCCATTAAATATGATTTTTTGTTGTTGCTCCGTCATGCGAAAAAATGCGAGCAGCAGCTCTCGACCAACACATAATTTTGCCGCAATGAATTGGAAGTTTAAGTTTAATATTTATCTGCAATCGATTTAAATGTCAGGCAAAATATGTCCTAAGGGAGTCGAGTGCGAAACTTTCCTTGGGGCAAGTAAAAGTTTTGCCGGCCAAAGTTGATCAATGAAATTAAAAAGATTTATGATTTTTGGCCGCCCAAAGTTCCCGTTGAACGAATCCCCATACGAAGCCCGAAAATCCCGGGTGCGAATCAGAATCTTGGCAAAACAATCAGCGGCAATGTCCTGCTGGGAGCGAAAGTTTCTGGTTTCCGTTGAAAGTGTCATCCCAGTTGGGTCCTTGGATATTATTTTGAATTGCACTCATTTCGGTTAATGGACGGACCCAGGTTGAGCAATAAAAAGGGCTTCTAAAGCGAAACTTATAATAATCATCATCGGGTCGAAACACAAAGCGCGTTATTTTCTATTACGATCGAAGGGTCTCCTGTTCGAAAAAAAAATACTCTAAAATAGAAAACGAGAAATTATGTTAATTTAAAGTGAAGTCTCAATAACGGGGGCAAACTCAAGTGTCCGAAAGTGTTTAAACCTGACAAAGGTCCCTTTTCGGGCAATAGGTTGCAACAAAGGCCTTAACCCCTTGATGCCCCCGAATATTCGAGTCGTCTGAACAAACTTCCGACTGCCCCCTGACATGCTGCCTGTTTACACTGAATCTCAAGCGGATTGGGAGGCCCAAGTTGGCCAACAAAGACCCCCAATCTTCGGCCTACAATTAAGGCTTGGTCACGCTAATTTCTGCTGCCGATGCTGTGTCAATGCCGCTCCAGCCACGCCCATAAATTGGGCCACCACCCTATTTTAATTCTCTTGGCACTTGTTTGTCCGGCTTGAGCCTTTAAATTAAATTTAAGCGGGCTGAGGAAAAAGGCGTTGCCCCGGGCCAGAAAAAAGGCGGTCTGCCAGATGTTTCTTTAATACACTTCCACTCCCACTTTTGGGGACATACATCCGAAGCCGAAGCTGGAAGTGACAAAAAAGGGAAAGAAAATGAGAGTAGGAGTGGGTCTGAGGTGAAAAAAATAAACACGCAACTCTCTCGATGCTTCTGGGTTGAGCGCAAAACAAGCAAGACTTCGGTTATCGCTGGTGTCACAGTTAACGTCAGTCACACTGACAAAAGTTTTGGCAAAAAAAATTGTTTTGGGACATTCAAAACAATTCAAAAAATTAATTCTCAAAAATCCACTCTAAAAATTTTAATTGGAGACTTTCATTAAATTTTAAAATAACATTTTTATTTTCGTTAAGACTTCAAGTTCTTTTCTTGTAAATTAAAAAAGTATAATGTA